AGCCGGGCCGCACGGCGGGGCCCAGCTTAGCGGGCGCGGCCAGGCGCAGCAGGGCCAGGTCGTCGCCCCGCTCCACGCGGCTGTAGTTGTCCGGCACCAGGATGGCGGCCACCGCGCGCACGTGCGCACCGTCCGGGCTCCCGTCCTGCGAGTGCGCGCCCAGCAGCACCGACCACTCGGCCGCGGGTTCCAGGGTCCCATTCCTGCGCCGGGCCGGGGCGGGAGGGGATTAGGGTGACCCTACGGAGGGGGCAGACCCTCGTGGGGATGGGGACTCAGAGCCCGGGGAGGGGGCGGGGTCGGCAGGAACCCAGAGGAGCCGAGTCAGATCCAGATTTGGGGCCGAGACTCCTAAAAGAGGGGAGAATCCGATCTGGAGGTCGTGATCGGGGCCGTGGATTCAGACTCGGATATTTAGCGGAGTGGGGACGAGTCTGCTGGGGGCCTCACTCCACCCAGAATCATAGTGGCTCGCAGAGCACCTAGCGTAGGGGACAGGAGGGGAAGCGGGGGCAGCTCGGCACCAAATCAGCCTTGTGGACTTGGGGGGACAAGCAGAGGGGGAGGGGCCAAGTGGCGGGGCGGGGTTGGCCTTTGAAGGAGAGGCTGGACCAGGTCGGATACTCACGTCACGAAACAGTGAGCAGCGGAGAGGACCCAGGAGGGGGCGATGAGGGAGCCCCCGCAGATGTGCCCCCCGCCCCGATGCAGGCTCACTTGCCACGGCCAGGTGCTCGGCGGCGCGTCCGAGCCCCCCACGATGCGGGCAGACGGTTCAGGGCGCCCGCAGTCTGCAGCGGGGAACCCTGGAGGTCAAAGCCCGCCTTCCGTGCCTCTCTCCAGAAGCCCAGGTAACTCCGGACAAAGCCCGTCCTCCACCCGCTTAGGGTTGCCCCTCTGAACAATGAACATAGGGGACCTAGGCACGTCTACATTTCTGCTCATTTCCACCTCCATCATGGCCTAGCCAGCCTTAAACTCCTTTCAGATCTGAGGACGCCCAGTCCTCTTCCTTACCCAGATCTTCAAGTTCCTCTTGGGTAGGACTGACAGCTGGGAGCCAGAGGATAGAGAGAAAGACACTGGTGACCGCCAGCCCCTGACCCTGCCCAGCTCCCATCTTCTCTCCACCTCCCACCCCTACCTTCCCAACTCCCTGTCCTTTCAGAGCTCCTGCGGTGCCCATACTATCACTCCTATCTTTTCTTCCTCTGCACATGAATTTCCCCCAGTCCAGTTGCCTTACCTGTGTCCTGTAAGGCTCCTGGGATGGGACTGATGGCTGGAAAGACAGAGGGAGACAGGAAGAAGCCGGAGAAGTGCACTTACTATGGGTCCTCCCTGACTCCCTCCCCCCAGCTTTGCAGCTATTCTACCTCCCTGTGGCACCCGGGCCTTCTTCCTCCCTCCTCTGATACCCTGTTCCTCTCCCTCCTGATGCCTCACTTACCTCCTCCTTTGGACATCCCCCCCTTCCTCCTGTGACACCTCACTCCCCACACAAAACACAGAAATCCTGTTTTTTGGCTCCCCGGAAGCTAGGACCCAGGCCTCTTGCAGCTCTCCCCTGTTCCCTGAGGTTACCGAGGATCACAAGTGAGAGGAGCAGGTGCTGGGACATGGCACACTAGAGTCAGCTGGAGCCACAGAGGTGAGTGAAGGTGTGTTCCCTACCACAGCTCTGTCACTGCCTAAGGCAGTCAGTGACTCTCAATGGTCCCAGAAGCAGCCCCACCCTCCCTGGCTGGAGCCCATCTCTGGGAATCTGAGAGGATCTGGGGCTGGAAGAGGGAAATAAGGAGCCTGAAGGCCCCACCCTGGGCCCTGTGCTCATCTCACATCTCTGAGGCCCAGGGAGGGGGTGGGGGATAGATGTCCTAGCTCCAGGACACCTTTTGGGTGGGGGAGGGAGGAGTGGAGAAGTCTGGGCCAAGTCCAAAGAAAAAGACAACCAGGGGCTGGGAGGCCAGTATTCTGGGTCCTTGGTGAAGCAGGGTTGGAGTGACCATTGGACAGGGGAGGTGGCCCCTCACTGGCGTGACTCACCTGAGACCTCACCTCTGTTTGGGGTGCGGCTGCCCCAATGGCTTGGCCTTTTCTTCTCACACAGCTCTAGTTACTAGATTTGCTGGCCAGGTCCGGGACAGGAGCCCCAGGGAATTCAATCCCATCCCAACAAAAGGATCACAGATTCTGGCATGTTGGGTAGGGCATGGGGATTCTAAGAGGGGTCTGGGCAGGCTGGCAAGGCCAAGAAAGACTCCGCCTTTCTCTGTGTTAGAGTGAGTTACCCTCAACAAAAGGATCACAGATTCTGGCATGTTGGGTAGGGCATGGGGATTCTAAGAGGGGGCTGGGCAGGCTGGCAAGGCCAAGAAAGACTCCGCCTTTCTCTGTGTTAGAGTGAGTTACCCTCAGGTGGCCTTCACTTACTGTTTGTGTGACCTTACGGAAGTCACTCAACCTCTCAGTGTGTAACAGTGAGAGCCTACTGAAGAAACTATGGCTTCTCCAAGAGTAACTGAGGAGTTTAGTAAAGGAACTGTTCACTGTACAGAGGTGCAGCAGGGTTAAGGGAAATCAAGGGATGGTGAAGCACACTGGGGCTGGTGACAGTGGAGAGCCTTGCCAACCTGTTGGCCTGAAGAGACAAAGAGAGGGAGCAGCTACTGGCACCCAGACAGAGCTGCAGCCATGGGATGGAGGCAGCTGACAGGAGCCACGGCCTTCAATGCAGAAATGCAGCCGAGACCCCTTCTCACTCCTCCCATCCTCTGGTCACCTACCAGCTCCTCTTACTGTCTGATACCTTCCAGAAGACAGAGTGCAAGGCAGCCTGTGACATGGTCCATAAAGGTCACTCTCTGCGGGAACAAATCAGGATGCAGCAGGGTAGAGAATGGAAATGGGTCAATCAAAGCATATCCGCACATGTAAACCTATTTTCTTACCAACAGTGTAAGCTAATAATATTACTCTATTCATCTAGTTTCCTAGGAAACAGAGGCCTTGCAAAGCCGAGTGCAATCCCAGGGTGGCGGGAGTGAGGGAGAAGGAACAGTAGGGAGGACATGCAAATACAGGGACCCAACAGTTGACTGGATTCAACTGATGATCTTGCCTGCCTTAGCTAGTGCATGGTGAGTGATGAAGGTGAGCGTAGGGATAACATCTGCAGACTTGTTAACACAGTCCTGGGGTTGTCAAGTCTCCTCAGGAACTCTTTTAACCTACTGCTTGTGTAGGCGTTTGCCCCTCAAAGGATAAAGAACCAATCATTCAACAAATGCTCAGAAAAATGAGGTAAAGAAGAGCTGGCCAGCTAGCTCAGTTGGTTAGAGCACAGTGCTACAACACCGAGGTCAAGGGTTCGGATCCCCTTACCATACAGCCACCAGGGGCAAAAAAAACCCCAAAACAAAATAACAACTGAGAAATATTTAGAGTATTTATTAATTCATTAAAAAATAAATCCATTATATGTTTATGAAAAGTAACTATATTTTCCAAAGAAAAACTAGTGAGAAGAGTGGCATTATTTACATTTTTGCAGATTTCTTTAATGTCCTGACTAATAGAATATGGATAGATTCTCATATCTACTTCTGCATCCAGCCTGGTGTGATATTACATATTATGTAGCCTCTGGAAACCTACATTGTACACTGGACACTATTATAAAAGTAGTTTTGGCCTTGGGTATCCCTTGGAAGGGTCTTGGGGACCCTTTCTAAAGTTCCCAGATCATACTTTGAGAACTGCCACACTAAGACAATGATCCTTAACACTTTCCCCAAACCAACAAACCTGAGGAATTGGACTTGGTCCTCTAGATAGCATGGTGGCCCACCAAAGCAATGGATACTGTGTTAGGATGGGCAAAGGTCAAGGATTTGGATCCCTGTACAGGCCAGCCGATAAAAAAAAAAAAAAAAGAAAAGAATCCTTAATTAAGAAGTACTAAGAAGAAGATAGACAATTCAATTTTTTTGTTTTTTTAAAAGATGACCGGTAAGGGGATCTTAACCCTTGGCTTGGTGTTGTCAGCACCATGGTCAGGCAGCGAGCCAAACGGCCATCCCTACACCGGATCCGGACC